TTTTTTTTGGCGGGGGGGGGGGAAGAGGAAGGTTGGACAGTTTGGCTGAGAACTTGGAAGTGTAGGAGGAGGAACTAAAGATAGCAACTTTGACAAATTATTGAAAAAGGAAAAAGGAATGCACCATGTTGTCGAGCTAAGCTGAGTAAAGCTCTCAGTATCGGGATGATTGTGAGGTCTGCGGCCTAAACTCTCTTTTTTGCAAAAAGAAAAAGAAAAAACTTGTGAAAATCTGTAAAATGAATGGTAAAGCCCAAAGGCCGAGGTGATATTCTTGAACCACCTCCCCTTTTTTTTTCTTTTTTTTTTTTTGGGGGGGGGGAGGGGGACTGGTTTGGCTACCAAGTTACTGCAATGCCTCCAATTTTTTTCTCTTTTCATTCCATTGTTTGGATGCCAAACCCAGAAGCCTTGTGGTCCCGGAGACATGCTCGACCGCCTGACCTGGCTGGACCTGCAGGGGTTGGGGTCTAGCATAGCCCCAGTGTAAAAGAAAGAAAAAAATACAAAAAAATATAAAAACTCTGGAAATAGAAAATGTTGTGTAGAATTGGAATGCAAACTTCCACCTGAGGATCACCTCAGAATTCCTTACTCGATCAAAGGACTCAAAGATAGAAAAAGGAAACAAATTAATGTTTCCCCCCTCTTTAAACCCCTTTAAACCATGAGTACATCCGAGGCAAAATGCTCGAGCCTCTAATTCCCCCTGCGCACCAAGCTTTGTCGAAACGCCAGCGTGGTGTTTTTGTTTTCTTTTGGCTGTTCCCGCCAGCCGTCGTGGTCCGGTAGCACCGCTCATCAGTACATCCGAGGCAAAGTGCACGAGCTCCCAATCCCCCTGCGCTCCGAGCTTTGGCGAGATTTCAGCGTGTGGCGTTTTCGTTTGCTTTTGGCAGCCGTCGCCAGCCATTTTGGTCCGGTAGCACTGTTTATCCGAACTTCTCGGATTGATCAATCGTGATTCTCAAGTTTGCTGAGGCCATGTACTGTATACCCGCCTTCTCCTCCCTCCACCGACAGATAACCTCCCGCGGTCCCCAGGGTATGTCAGAACCTCTCGGAATTCTTCTCGATGGGTTTTTCGGTACCCACCAGAAGCAGCCTGAATCCGGGCTCTTTTTCAGTTTTCAGGCGGGAGGCTGCACGACTGGGCGACCTGCACAGGTGCCCTCCCATGTGTCCCTAGCAAACAAGACACCCTCACTTTAAATTTTGAAATGTTTTTATTTTTATTTTTATTTTTTTTCCCATTCTTGGAAACCGGCCGGACCCCAGAGACCAAAAGCAAGTGGGAGGTTTCCTTGATGGTACTTGAGGGTACTCAAGGGTAGGATCGGGGGTGAGGTCCTTCTTGCCTGGATACGTGCTTCCGAATGTTTGGTTGCAAGGGTCGTCGTCGTCTCTTCTTCTTTTTTTTTTTTTTTTTTTTTAACATACCCTAACTGAACCATACATGGGCCCATCCGTCCGACCCTAAGTTGAGGAGCACTGCATGTTGTCCACATTGAAAATTGCGAGCAGCAGGGGCAAGGGCGCACTTCTCTGGATTCTTTGTACTGGACCATCAAATACAGAATTGGAGTAAGTGGGGGGCCTTTCCCGAGATACATCCCGCTTGCCCCCCCCCCCCTTTTTTTTTTCCAGTCTTTATCGTCCATTCAAACAGGAAGAACCCTTTCCCAAGCCATTGATCTGAACCCCCTAACTCTGAAACCAACTCCAACCCTCCCGCTCACTGCACACTCTCCCTTCCCAAGCGATGAACTTGCAAACGCTGAACCCAAGCCCAGTCCTCCTCCTCTGTCCCCCGATGCGCATTCATGTGACTGTCGAAAGGGCAACACTAAATCTGAAACCACGAAGCTAGTGCCCTGTAAAATCAAACGCTAAACTTGCACCCTAAACACAAAATGTCCGGAATCGCATCGAGTGCTTGATGGTTTCCGTTGACCCATTTCAGTTTCAGTTCTCTTTTTCCTTAACTCATGAATTTATTTGAGTTGACTCCTGGTGTGAAATGCTGAGCTGTGACTCTGGAACTTTTTAAGTAAGTTTCAGCCAAGGAATAAAAAGCAAACCCATCACTTCAAAATGTTGACTTTATTAGAGTTGAACCCTTGACCTTCGATTACATGATATGATCCTTCAGGACTTGTGTTTGGTTGTTCATTCTATTACATGATGATATGAGTTCCGTGATTTCAGCATCTGTGAGTCTTCTCCGAGAAATGTGTTTTGCACTTTTCTCATGTCTTAAATTTCTGCAAGTCAAAGACCGCGAACCCTCCAAACTCTTCAATCTCAATCTCAGAATCTTAGACCACAATTAGATCAGAGGCTCTCTTTACCGAGGCGAAAAGGAAAAGAACTGTGCGCCAAGCTTTGCCGAAGCACCGGAGTGACTCCGGTGCTTCTTTTTGCTGTCTTTTGGCTGTGCAAGGAAAATGAGCGATAGGGAAAATCAGAAACCAAGCAGCATCATACACATGAGACCAGAT